CTCCAAGATCTAAAGCCAATCCAAGGAATTTTTCCTTTAAATTGATATTAAAAAATGTTTCTTAATGGCTAGAACTTAAGTAGACGACACTGTATGTAAATTTTGTACACGAACTACATTTTGTTACAGGAAGAAAAATGAACTACTAACAATTTATCAAATTTTAACATTAACAAATAACAGAAAATAATATTTATAATATGATTGCCCATTTTAATACTCGATGATTCAATTTTATTGATAATTTCTAAACACATTGCTTATGTAGAGCTTCATACATTTTTACCAGATGAAACACCTAGTGATAGACGTTTATGCAGGGTTATCCACTAATATTATTTTCTAAGCCAGGGCTGTCCAACTGCAAAAGCCTCAAATACCGCTTTATAGAAAATCGCAGTTCGGAGGGCCGCATTATAAAATACTTCGAATGAAACTTTATCAGTGAGTTTTAATGGTATGGTATACTCGTACAAAAAAAAATTGGTTCTAAGCGAGAAATTAATACTAGTTTGAACTACTACCGCTTTTTAAAGATCTTTTGGGCACGATTAAAGCACCATCATTCAGGAAAAACAGTGCGTTTTTTGCTTCGTCGTGATGTTTTATTATTCCAAAAGAAAGAAAATCTTCTTTTGCATTTTACCAAAAACTCTTTGTTTCATCAACGACGAACTGTTTTCGAATTAACTAACATTTTCCAGTGAAAATGCGCTGCTACGGTAGGTGAGTCACCCTGTGAAATATTGCGCAAGTGTCCATTTGCAATGGACAATGATCTTATACGAAATATTCTGCTAATTACATCTCATTGGTAAGAAATCCCCATTTGCGATGCGACATATTATTTGATCTGACCTACGCATTAAAATGCACAATTTATGCATACACATATTTTGTAATACTTTTTATACTTTATCGATTTTTACCTTCCGGTTGCTCCAGAGTGAAAGGCCTTTGAGAGTCGGCGACTACACAATATATTTACTTTCTAAGCTCAGGATGTCAATATTTTCGTAAAAGTAAGGGCTTATAGATGTATATATTAAGGCAAATATACTATTTGTTAAGGTCTGTGATATAGGATTTTTATTTAAATCGGAAACTCTTAGACTCGATATGATATAACGTTGATATCTTTTGAAATTTCAGTTGCGATTGATCTGATAGTTCAACATATCAGAGAAATTCTGTCCAACAACCCTCGAATTTCGGAAGAGAGAATTTTGCCTAATACGCAGCTCCACTCACCAGCCAATCACTCCCTTTCCAACAAAATAGCACTTAATGGAGAGGCCGTTTTCAAGAGACCACATTAAGGATGATTGTTTTTTTGCATTTCTTATTAGCTCGCTTTATTTATTTTAATGTTTATATCACAGAAAATGGTAAGTTTGTTAATTAGTTTATAGTTTTTACTTACCTTTACGCCGATATCACGTTTCGAAGCCAAATTTTTACATTTATTTAAACGCATCTAATTTTTTATGTTACTTTATATACAAACACATATTTTATCAAGATTCAAACATTCGACTTTGACACATATCTGTGCGTTTATATTATACTTGTAGAAAATAAAATAGATCTAATCTCTTCAGCACACTGCTAAGTTTACAAAGTTACAAATAGAGTTAAATAATATTCAATTTAATGTCTATAGCGGTTAAGTAAATAACATTAGAATTATGCATTACTGTAACCAATAACGCCATAATTAGAGGCACATAAACTGTAAATAGTAAAACCTTTTATGCATAGAAAATAGAAACAACATTCTGTGATAGACGGTAACATGTAGACACCAGCCATAAGTACTTAAAAAATCAAAAATAACTTTGTTACTATCGTTGGATTCATTTTAAAAATGTGTGGACATTATTTAAGAAATAACCAATATGTATAAGCACTAATATAAAGTTTTGTGTCATATTTTAAGTTTGTTTTGTGATATTATTGCCAAAAAGAAGCACTAATTTTTAACTTGTTGGTGCTATTAGAGTAACTTTATCCTCGTTTTATTTCTGTGGATCTTGCTGTTGAATAAATTGTATTATCTTACAGTAAAGTTATTTTTCAACTTAAAACATAATTTTTCCATAAATATGTGGTGTTTTGTGCCCGTTTTCTCAGTGAACTATAACAAAATATGGTCTTCATTTTTTAACGAAAACATCTGTTTGAAGGCCAAATTAAGAGCAAGAATTTTCTACTAATGAATTGCAGAAATGTGTTTTTCACGCAATAGTTCCATTGCATACGGTTCAAGAATTGAAAAAAACTTGCGGATACTAGGAAAATATTCACTTCTTTGCAAATCACAGCCGACTTTTAGATCACTTTCGGAGGTTGTGATTAACCCAAAGGTGGGAAGGTAAATATAAGTTTCGCACAAAAGATTCTTTCGCTTCTTGAAGTAAAAAAAATATATTTGTCTGATTCGAAATGCGTCTCCAGTTCAGTACAATAAAGTGGTAAAAACATTAAATATAATCAGTAAGACCCCTATTTAGCTCTGTGGGTTTTCCGCTCAATGGTGTAATGTATGGTAGTAAAAATAAAACACTATTTTTTTCATGAGCCGACGTTTCGATTATATTTAAGTCATCGTCGGGGCTCTATGAACTTAGTGCCATATTTACTCCAAATGCACAGAAAGGGCAACATACCGTTCGAGTTTGGCGTATTTTAAGACTGACTGGATTTTAAGACACAACATCATTTCAACATTTTATGGGATTAAATATAATATACGCAATATGTTGTTTTGTAATTGCTTGAATTGGAAGTTCGTTTCCTGAGTAAATTGTAGAGAATCGAAGTTCTAATTGCGTATAAAGGAATTAAGTCTGAGGTAAAATAAAGACAAAATATTTCCTCATTACCGCTTGTAATAATACACATAATGCGGGTTTCTTCGTTACTTGTTGCAAACATCTTAGCTTTAACATGGATACTGTTAACTTTCTTTAAAAAGAAAAATAAAATCTGGAAAATAAAGTACTTTAGCTTTTGCAAATAAAATTATTTTGATACCGAAATACTTTCATATTAAGGTATAATAAGTATAAGGTGTATTTTTCAAAGAACTTTAATTGTTTTTCAAAGTATTTTCAACATTTGTATAATACGGAATGCTCTTTGTCTGACGATAATAAAATATGTTTAAAATTAAGTAACACTAAAAAAGTAGATCCATATCTATTACTTGTAAAATGTTTTCTTGAACATTTATTTGGATGTCGTTTGGTCAATATCAGGACTTTTACCTATTTTTCTGATTACAAGTGCTTGTCTTTGGTGGCAACTTGGGTTGAAGGGTTAAAGTTTCCATTACCTTTATTATTAAAATAATGGAACGACTTAATAGCAACACATTTCATATTTGTTCAATTCAATTCGCATCAATTATATATTAGTAAATATTGAAGCAAACATTCTTTGGAAAGTAAGAAATTTATATTGTTTAATGTATTAACATTATCCTATAGTTAACTTATTTATATGATTATTATACACCCAATACATTATATTCGTCCCAGAAAGTTAATTTCTAAAATTTAATATCCATGTCTTGTAACATTTTGTGAAGGTAAAATGTGCGATTGAAACATGTGGCTACGACAAATGGTACTTAAATTGAAAAGAAAAATTACTATATGTGTAACTGAACTTACAGCTAACTTATATCAGAAATTGATTATAATCGTTAAATTATTGATAGTAGAGCTCAATATTCATTCCGTCGTGGATTTCATCTGTGCATTACTGTTAAGGAAATAAACATGGTCTAGTTCAAAAATTTGCCAAATATAGATTATATACGGGACATAAGTACCGTAAGACGATTCTAAACTATTGTAGTTGTTTTGTTGATTGAAAATAAATCTTATCTACTTTTGCGGTTAGAAGAATATTGGAAGAAACATTCCTTAAATCTTTCGCAAGCAACTCGATGCCAACTTGGCCTCAAAGGGATTCAGAGGGTCATGACTCCCCGTGACTGGGGGCTAGGTTCATTTTGTCAGCTTGTTTAGAGTAAGCGGAAGATTGTCGTCAAAACACTCAACTCAATATACTCTATGTTGTATGGATAGAGCATTATAAATTATTTCTCAGATATTTACTTGAAAGTGAAATATTGAAAAAGGATACAGTCCTGAAGTTGAATGTGGTCTTTAAAGGTGGTATACCACTTTTTCAAAACAATCTTCTCCCATTTGGTACCAGTTTGAGCAGCAATCAGTTTTTTCAGGTCTCCTACTGTGTCCTCGGGATTGCATTTCACTCTAACTTTCTTGCCCAGCCTGTCGTTGCAAGTGATTTCAATCATCTTTAGATTTTTCGGCTTTTAAGACTAATATTTTATTGTAAATTACTATCTGTACACTTAATATTTACGAGCAGTTTTTACGAAATGTGTGGTTAGAGCGAATGTCTGCTTCACAATTTCACAGTTCACAGAGTCTAGATTGAAAATTTGAATTTTCCGTCGAAACTATTCTTGTTAAAGCATAATCAACTGGATTTGTTCCATACGTTTCTTTCTAATAGTTATTATAAATAAAATAACTTAATAGAACTGAAATCCTGAATAAATTACATATCACAGAGTACAGAGGTTATACCGTAATTTGTGATCGTAGATGAAGACAAGTTGTGACAAAGCTGTTTGTGATCTGTGAGTGTCATAACCACAGATCATAACCTTTCTTTATTCATGTCAAAACAAATAACAGTTTTGTGAATTGTTAGATTTTATTTTCTTGGTGGTTGGAGTAGTATTGCGATAATAACGTTTGTGAATATACCTTGTCGATGTTCGAAGAAAGGAGGCCAGTACTGGGTAAGTCGATTGACATAAAACCCTTGTTTATCTAATTTTGCTTTCCTAACCTCACTGGTTTGCATGATCTTCATCAGTTGAACTATTATAAAACAATCTGCAAGGGATGAAAGTTCTGGCGGCCTAGAAAGCCCCCATGGCAACTTAGCAAACCTCCCTGCTTGCTCAATCAGCGAATTATTGAGTAGAATAGAACATTCACTCATACATGCATAAACTCTATGTTGTATTTGTATTTAGTATTAGAAGGGCTGCTTGCTTTAGAGTATTCAGGGTAATTTTGGTTTAGGAGTTAATGAAAAGATCAACCACAAAAGGGCTGTGACGCTGACATGTTTGCGAATAAGTATCGACCTGGTGGCTATTGCCTTTTTCATAAAAAAAAACATTTTTTATAGAAAATTTAGTCCGCATATTTAGCTATACGAATGGTTTGCCAAATTACCTTTAAGCAAAAAAAATCCAAACATTTTTTAAAAGATGTATACGTAAAATTGTTTGCTTGCTTAATAAAAATAGTGAGGACGAGCTGATTGATGTACATTGCATGATCCTTGGCTTTGAATCGGCCAGTCTTTTACCTAATTCCTGCTAACGCTTTCGCTTTGTCTAGTCCTCTGATATTCGGTGTAAGGAACGTTTAATTGTGTTTTTCTTAGAATTACCAATCTGCTTTTAAATCGGGCTTGAGTGTGGAAACAACGACACCCATCTTCGACTGTATCCAGAAGTAGCTGGACGCATGAAAGCAGGCCGCAATTGAAACTAGCGAACAGTTTGCAGTGAAAATCCAATTTAATAGTATTGATTTTATATTTACGGATAGCGATAAATTGTGAGTCAAAAGCATGAACAAGATAGAATTAGAAGGAACAGCCCATTTGCTTGATGAGCTTGACAGTAAGTTTAATGATCTCTGCAGTCTCTTGGTCAACTGAATTAATCACTTCTCCTTCTGTAGAAAAACTTATGGTTTTACTGCGCGATGGTAGGACCTTAATAGGCTACTTGAGAAGTGTAGATCAGTTTGCGAATTTAGTTCTACATAAAACTATAGAAAGGATTCATGTTGGCAAGGAATACGGTGACATACCCCGGGGAATTTTTATTGTACGAGGAGAAAATGTTGTGCTTCTAGGCGAAATTGTAAGTATGTGCAGATACTACCGGAGCTGGACCATACTGGCATTGATCAAGAAGTAAATGTTTACTAGACAAAATCGGGGCCTTGTTTTAGGATATAGACAGAGAGGATAAATTACCGCTAACAGAGATCTCGGTGGATGATGTTTTAGATGCACAAAGAAAAGAACAAGAGTTACATATCGAAAAACAGCGGCTTATTTCAAAAGCTCTAAAGGAAAGGGGTCTGCAAATGAATGCGGATTTAGTTCAAGATGATTTATATTAAAATTGGAACTGACGAGCACACTATTTTATTTTCTTTTTATAACTAGGCCCCATTAAATACTGGTATAAATCGCCGTTCTGTTGAATAACATGCTATTTATTTCAAAATAGTGGTTTTATTTGTGTTTGTGTGTAGCATTACTTCCACGTTCCAGTACCTTCCTTTTCCAGGGTTACTTTTCTACTTTAACGGGTGGTTAATCATAAGAAAATAATATATAAAATAATAATTGGCAATTAATCTAAAGATGCGACCTCTAATCTCGGTTGTAGTCCAATCCCGTATTTTCGATTTATTCTTGAAATTAAACATCATGATATTGTGTAATTACATTTTTATTATTCGTCTAGTCGCTGTGAGCAGTTTGATATAGTATGTTACAGATCGCGACCAATTATATTAACTCTTAACAGTACTTAACAGCATTAAATTTAACAAATAACATATGGAGATGAGGATTATTTTTTTCGAAATTCAATAATACAATATTATTTGCGTTAAAACTTTTTTTGAGGAAAGGGACACAGACAATACATAATTTAATTTCAAAAATCTATAACAATAAACAGTTTTAGCATTAAAATATGGGAACTTTCCTCAGAAAAAATTATCGGCAGCTACGTCTACATTAAGAGATCAGTAGTATGCTTTTAATGTAGTCATACCTGGAAAATGCTACACCAGTAGAAACGTGCTTCGTCGGCATATTTGGAAGGAAAAAATGTGAAAGCACTTTTCCGGTGCTTAATTGTTTGGAAGACTATTGAAGAGTGCGGCTCTAGTTCAATTTCATCTTCATTTGTATTATTTATTTGTTTTGAAATTGTTTATTTTAACGAAATTGAGACGGCAAATCCAAATATGCAAACAAAACTGAATACGAGTAAGGACATTCTAGTGGTTTAGCAGTTTATGTTCGCCCAAAAAAGGGCTACTACGTTATTTCGACATTTCTTAACAATTATGAGTTAAAAAAATCGCGATTGTACAGGGTGTTCTGAAAGCCGGTCTGTCGTGCTAAGGAATAAATTAGTTGTTCTGCTGTCAATTATCAAATTATTCACTGTTTATGGAGTCCCACTGTTTGGGATGATTAACAAATTTTCCTATGTTTGTATCATTTTGGGGGCTGAGTTAACGACAACAATTTGATTTCTATTACAAATATTTTAGGTCAAAGCCCCTGCTAGGTAAATGTTAGGAAATCCGTTTAAATGCGTATCTACAAAATAATGATTCAGCAAACATATAAATAAAATAGACAATAATTTGATAATTGACTATGGGCGGGAGAAATGACCACAATCATACAATTATTTCTCACATAATGGCAATACTTACAAATACACTTTATAAATTTAATACCTAAATCACCATAACGTTGGAATAATAGGTTCTTAAAAACAATTCTATAAATGTTAATCTAAATAACAATGTGGGGCGTTAGCCATTAATTTATAGGGTGCAATTTCGCTACGATTTAATGGAATTATTATTATTGCCGGTGGTAAGTCCGAAAAATTATTTATTTACCTGAATACTTTGTGATCTAGTAAGTAGTTCTATCAAGCAGGTTACAAAGACTCAATGTATATTTGTGCATAACTGTCGCTAAAGGAAGACACGCTTTGATGTTGGAAGACTCATCTCTTGATATATGTTTGAATTACATTTCTCTTATCGGTTTTACATCAATCGAATACGATCAAACCGACAAGATTAACGCAACAAACTTTTCCCTTAACATTTAATTGAATCAAACTGTCGTACGTGTGAGTTGAAGTACGCGGATATTTTTTCAGACTTACCCGTTTACAGAATACATAAAATATTAGGTCCAAAATGAAACAAAGCGCATCTAAACTCAAATATCAAATACAGCATAGAGTATATTCAAACCATTGCTAGTTTTAGCCGTTAATCATCTTTTGAATTTGGGAAACTTTGGGAACATTTGACACACTGATTACTGTATATGATTATTCATTTGTTTTTTTCTTTTATATAAGTACCCTGTTTTATTTAGTGTTATTGAAAAGTTTAACTAAAATCATGGCACAGTGTTCAAAATAGTTCAATTGAATTGGCAAGAACTTTCCAACATCAATTTTAATTGCCAGCGACACAATCAGTTAATAAAATTAGTTAAATCCAAAAGCGAATTAATCAAACACGGCGATATTGAAGTTTCTCGCCAACTCAGGTCAGGACTAGAAGTTCTTTTCACAAATTTAACAAAACCACGATTAGTTACATATTATGCTACGTTAACTAAAATGTTAGTACCTAAAGAATAAACACAACAATCGTCGGGAAGACTTACATTTTTCATATTGTAAATTTTTTAAAATATTAAATCTATTTACTTGGTGTTTTGTCTTTGCAAACTATAATTCGTAGGCATAGTCCCTTTTATACTAAATTAAAGTGTGGACTTTTAATAAAGGCCATATTTAATGAAATAATTGAACGGTGAACATTTAAAATGCAAGTCACAGAAAATGAGATAAAGATTTGCGTTATTTCATTTCGAATAAGAAAAAGGTGTCGGTTAGATGGTTATTACCCAGGTTGAGTTGTAAAATATAATTAATTAATAATAGTGCATCGTACTAAAAAAATAATAAGAAACGTTATATGCAAATTGTATAAAAAAATTATATAAGTTCAGAAACGTATATTTTCCGTTTTCACCCCTTATTGAATTTTGGATTAGTTGGTAAATATTTATTAGCTTTTTAATGAAACGGTTTCATTCCGTTCACTTCTTTCCGATTGATTTTTTACGTTACAGCGTTAATTCTGTATACATATTTTCAACCTAAAAATGTCTATTTAATATACTTTTGCTATCATCTTTTTAACATGCTTGTACCAGTATTTCTTTCATTTGCTTGAAATTATTGCAGTTAGTAACACAAAATCACCATGTGTTTTAACACGATTTATACATTTTTAAATCAAATAATGGATTAAATAATACTTTCTTACTAAATATCAAGGAAAATTGAATGATAATGATTGAACATTGTAAAAATTATATTTGAAGTCAACAAAATTGGTGTTTTTGAGGTAGTGTTTTGCTTTATCATAATAAAACGCTCTTAATAAAATATCACTCTTACTAAGACCATTATCGAGATATTAGTACTCAACATACGAAGGTAATAGGGGAGAATATGAAGATGAAAGTACTGAGGAAAATAATGTCCCATGGTAAGAAACAAATATGCAAAATTATCAACAACAAGACTGGATAAGCCACGACCAATAGTCAGAAATATTGCAAAATTGCAAAAACATTTTATGTATTAATACCAAAATATTTATGTAAAGGGTTTTAGAATATAAAGAAAACTAAATGTCTGTATTCTCCGAGTGAAGAGAAGGGCAGAAAGTCTGCAAAGACACAAGTTTATATGAATGTTCCTTATTATTTTATCGAGTACAATGCACTGTTTAATTTTTACCATTAAAAATTGTTCAATTTTTTCTGCAAAATGCATTTTTCAAATGTAATCGTTCTTGCGAAGTTTTAACGCAGGCAATAATAGAAAAACGCCACATCTTCACAGGCAATCAATAGCAAAACTGGAAAATGCCTTTTCCGACAGCTAAAGCAGTATTGTTCAAGCATGTAGATGTGAAGCTTTTTTTAATAGAGACAATTTTAAAAAACCAAATAACAAATTTTCAGTAATAACCACGCTGTATGCGACTAATTTCTGCATATCCGCTGTGTTTTTTCTACTGTTTTAGCACAGACACTGTTACATATAGATTTATTAATATATACTTATGTAACGCAATTGTCAATAGTTAGCCAGTATCAACAAATTAGGAGAACGGCATGAAGGTTTATATAGTCAAATAAATGTGTTGGGATCTTCCGGCGAAAAAACTTAACATTTGTTGCTTTCTCAGTTACTTTTTCACTGTTTTCATACAATAAAATTTAAAAGCTTTACGGACCAAGGTATACTATATGATAGTAAATAATGTACATGTTACAATGATGGTTATAACTAGAGTTATCAAATATATGTCACAGGGCTATAGTTATTTTTGGTGTTTGGCGCCTTGAGTTTGAAATACAAATCAACAAGTACAAACTGAACGGGATGAAAACACCTTCATGCTTTGTACATCACGAATATGTGAATAAATGATTATAATTTCACTACAGACAAAACACATAGCTAATAGTCCGAAGGACGAGATAACGATACCGATTTGACTAAATTTGGATTTTTCATAGAAGTATATTGTTGGGTTTCCATTAATATTCTTTCCATAAGTACTCCTTGGAGTATAACTTGGAAATAATGTAATTGTGCTAAATTCAGTTGTACCCCAATAATCAATCAAATTGATACCGTTTATGTAATATGTATAAAACAATAGTTACTCTAACAAAAAATATTTAGTTTCAGTCATTTTGTAATAATTTCATTAATATTAGTATAAATAACAACACATCGGAAAGAGTTCTCCGTTTTTTAGTACACGTTTCACTACGTTAAGCAAAGTTTTTCAACACGGCAGTAGAATTTGTTTCCGTATAATATTTTGAATGTCTTTTTTTAACTTACGCGCACTGAGGAAGATTTATCCATTCGTTGTCAAAATAAAATATTATATTATTAAGCACCCTTTATTTTACTTGGTCATATGGGTCATCATTGGATGGTCTTATTTTTATTTAACATGCCCAACAAAGATGTTTCTGATTTGCGGAAACACTTTATTTCAGTTATTTTAATTAAAGAAAGTTTTGGCAGTCATGATTTTAAAGGTGTTAAAGATGTTTTCAATCCTGTTCACATTTATATAAATTTGTTGTTATTTTGATTTCAAGGAACCTGAGAGCTTTTAATGAAATGTGGATTTTTCAGTTTTCAGCCGGAAAAATAATCTGAACCGTTCCCAGGCAGAAAAATCTAAACAAAAAACACACATTTAAATTAAGATAAAATGGGAGCAAATAAGGGAAGACAACCCGTATAAAAGTAGTAGTGCTGGATGAAATAAATTAAACAGGAATCATTGTCGATCGCTAAGGCACGAATGCTCTTTGTGCAAGTGTTGTAATATGCATTATTGCTTATTATTCAGTATAGATTTTGACAAATTATTTTATTTGAGAATCTACGATAAAAATACGAAATGAACTTAACTCAAACTAACACGCAGATCAAGACACCACATTGTAGTTACATTTAACAAACAAGCATTTGAAATCACGAAGTAAAATAATAAGCGCTTGAAAGTAAATGGATAATCGTTGCATGTGATTTTGTTTGATAAAATTCGAACAATTCTTAAAAGGAAAATGTTTTATATGTTCCTATTTCAAATTTAGTATTGATCAAATTTTTCTTCGTTATTGAAAGTGAACATTATTCCTCGTTTTTAATTCCTAAGCAGCACCCATTTCCTTGCTTCCTTTCCATCAGCCTCATTCTATGATCTTATGACATATTTTCAATAGTTTAAGTTATTTTAAGCGAGAGAAAATAAACACACTTCGGACGGTTGTATCCAAATGACCCATATGATACCAAATAACAACAATTATCGATATCGGGCTGTTATATTGTGCGAATAAGTGCAATTCTACCTATTTATTATTGCATATTTCGAGTGACTGAACGTAAAAAATTATATCTGTTATACTTCGATTTTTAAAAAACATTCGTAAAGTTAACATCACTGTTTGGCAAAACAGTCAATTTCGAGTCACTTGTGGATTATTTTCACTGTTCCAATATTCACCCACAATCACTAACATGTAGACGTAGCCTTAAGAGATACGGATTTCAAATCTATTATTAACTTACGGTTAGTGAATATAAAAGATTTTAAAATGGTGTCAGTATAAATCTTATGTTTAGGTTACGATTTGGTTTTACCTGATAACCGACAGACATGGCAGAGTGTTTTTGATTGTCCTACTATTAAATATCTACATATTTATTAGGTACTCTCGATTACTCAAAATGTGGCGTTGCGTTAACAGAAAAAACATTTTTTTATACGCTCGATCAGGAGATGTTATCGTTTGAAAAATGCAGGTAGTTTTTGTGAAAAATAAAGTCCTAAATTGTACCTCCTAGCCATTCTGTCGGTTTGATATTCCTGCGAAAGTAAGTAATCGCTTACTTTGCGTCCCTTCATGAGTTTCCTACTGATCCAACAATACATACTTCAAATGAATTTCTCCGGAAATATCCAAAATTTCCGTACAATAAATCGATAGAGGAGAAATATCCTCAAAATTATTTTCTCCCACCTACTCTCCAACCAAACTCATCGTATGACCTTACGTGATTCGGGTAATTCAATCATATTTGATCGACCAACAACTCGGCTGTGTTCTGTAAGTTGAAGTAAGGCCTAGCAGCCTCCAAAAGGCATTTGAAGAGCCAACGTTTCGCCGACAACGGCAAGAGCCGTCATCAGACACTGTCGACCGAGGCAAAACGTTCACCGAGTTCGTCGCAAAAGTGGGGCACCTGTTGTCTGGATGTTCCTGGAATGGCTATCTAGATACAGTTAATTTGTTTTTAATATTTAGTTTTGTACATGCGTTATCTATCTTACTGGTATGTGGATGCTGCGACGCATCGCTCTTTCTCTTTCCCTGCGTATTCTTCGCTTTTTTTGGTAGATAACACAGAGGCATATTAGAGCTAACAGAATGGCGCCCATAATAACCACCCAGGACATCCGAAAGGGAGTTTGGGGTTCTTCTACAGGATGGCCTGAAATGAACAATCAGTTTAAATGAAGCAAATCAAAGGAACGTTCTTATTAATCAGCAACTTTTTGTTGGATACTAAATTTGGGACTAGATGACTTTCGTGCAGGCGGCGATCCATATGATTATTCTAGTTTTGTCTTCACATGTTTCGGTTTTATATTATGACTTCTCTATAATATCTGAAGCTGCTCTATTGAATGATTGAATAAGCAAATGTTCTTCAGCCTTTTGTTCCTACCATGCTTAGATGGGTGATGGTTTGAAATCTTGAACCCAACCACCTTGAATTCAAGGTGCAATAAAATGTGCCCCTGTACTTATACTTACCAGATTATGATGTGAAAACTCTCGAATTAACTTTCAATGATTGTAATGTGCTTTTTGTGCCATGTAGAGACTTATGCCTAAGCTTCTAATATGAAATATGTGGTGGATGAGGGACGCAATAAATTTTCTATTTGGTTTCGTCCGATACGAACGTAGCATGTCGGTAAATATTTTAGTTTCATTTTTACCAGCAGATGATAATTATTTATAGTAAATGCATCTGAAGGAATTTGCGACATTTGTAGACCCGTTAAAAGTGTTAAGAAAACCAAACGCAGAGGCTCTTTAAATTTAAATTTAGATGCGGTTCCGAACCCAATTTTATTTGTTTCAAATATCTTCTGTATTTTATTGCGTTAAAATATCTATATTAGTCATTTTGGCTGAATTTTTAAATATTTACCAGAACTTGTTCATATTGCATATAAATCTTTACAAGTATGAAAACTAATTCTAGAAATTTTTCTCTATAAAAAGTATTTTTGGTAGTAAGTATTTTCATCAAATATTTGGTTTGATGATTGTCGATACTTAAAATTTTTTTTTTTCAAAGATCCAAATTAGAAAAACAAATTCCATTATTTAAAGAAATAACGGATATTATTAATGTTGAAGCAACAAATATTAGAGTTATCTTTAAATCACAAATTATAGTTATATGTAAACTAAATTTATGCAAAAAAGTGAATTTATTATTATTTTTGCAATTGTAATACATTTCTGGGGAAAACCTCACGGCCATCTGTTAAAATAAATTTATTATATGTCACAGAATTTAATTGAACAGTTTTAGCAGCAAATCCGTTAATAAAAAGTAATAAAAAACGCAAATTGTTTAAAGTAAAAATGATTCTTAGGATATGTCAACAGCATACCTCTAAATTAACGTAGGTATTTATCAATTTTATAATTTAGTTAACACCTTTATTTTTAAACAATTAATATGTGTGTTCGATAGTGGAAGTTAAAACATGTCGAAAATTTGAGAAAAAAATAAAAATTTAGTGCCACTTCTTAGAGATTTTTATTCGATAATTTATATTTATCTTTTATGTGATAATTTACTAATATAATATTTTCATTTGCTATTTCGGACTTTGTTTTATAACATCCTCAATAATTGATAAATTCGATATTATATTCGGATGACTGAAAAAATATAGAACTCTTTTGAAGTAAAAGCGCACTTGCTATAAGTTCTTAATAATGTAAGAATTCTATTTTCTGGTTGATTAAAGCGTATTAGGAGACACTCCACCTTTGATAGTCGTACTTATTTTACTTAAAATAAATGAATTAGCTTCAATTAGCGCAATTAATTAAGTTCGAGACTAAATTTATCATCGAAATTCTGGTAGATTTACGCGGAATTTTTGCTGAAAAAAACTTTAAAATTTTCGTTTTTAAATCGATAAAACAAAGTCAGCTAAATTTTCTTCAGTGAATTGAATTTTTGGTTTGAAACCGTTAGTCAAAAATTGCAGTTGAGCGTTCTTCTAAAAGCCTGTTTCTTGCTGAACACCCGGAATATCTGAGCGTATTTCTAATGCCAGATTTGGACAGCGCGGAAATAACAAACCGCATCAACAAAGTGAAGAGTTGGATTATGGTGGCTGCTAAAAAATTAGCATTGTTGTAGAATTTATCGTTAAAAAACAAAAAGGTTCATTTGCAAAACGCACATCCTAAAACCAGAGCTTCTTGTTTAGGTATCTAAATACTTGCACAATGGGCCAACGGTATTGGAAATCCTTAGCTAATTTTTCCTGAACAGAAAGTTATGAAAATTGAAACAAATTTTTTGCAGCGAGCCCCGCTTCTGGAACGTTCTGCCGCTTAATCAACTTGCTTATATTACCGGGCATTTACTCTAGTTAATGCACTAGTTTCTAACAAAAAAAAAAACATGCGTTTACTGAAAGCTTTTTCTGTAGCAATTAGGATTCTATGGAAGTAATTGTAGCAGTTTGCGCTTTGCTACATGGACTGCAACGGTACACTGGGTGTAAAAAAATGCATGAGAAGAAGAGATAGAGTGACTCACGTCAAGAGCAGCGGAATGAGCGAGGAGCGAGGGCGAGAGGGCGGCTACGGGAGTAGCAGGAGCGGCAAAAGAGCGACCAGTGGGGCGACGCCCGGCCAGGTGGGGCGCCGCCCTTGGGACGCCGCCGCCCCGTCGACCTGAGACGCCGCTCCACCTGCACATACACACACTTGGAATGCGAGATTTATGTCAAAAGTTTTATTTGTTGTTTGCCAAGCATTCTTGAAACGATTTCAAGTGCGTTCTCTTTCCAAACATGCAGCGTTTTCGGTTTGTCTACTGTAAACTTTCTTTACTTTTGACATAAACAATCCCAGTGAAGTTGAGCCGGACTACAAGAATAGTAGTTTTGCTTACAATAAGCATTAAAAAGTAGGTAGTTTAAGAAATGTTACTTTATTTACTATCGCAACACCCACTGGAGTGTTTTGTGTCTTCTCACATAAGACACTTTCATTGACTGTTTTTGACAAAGCTAATGTAGAAAGCGAAAAGCTTGTTTGCATGCAGTTACCAACCACCTGGTGTGAGAAGACCCACGAAACCTCGGTTGTTTTTTTTTGTTAAAAATGCACAAGAATCAAATAGTAAATAAAGCCATTTTAACTATTAAAAAAGTGTGGAATATTAAAAATGATGCCACTGGTACAGCTTTGCCGGGAGAGATAAAACAGATATCACCCACATATTTTTCTATTAGTTGCTAATAGGAGTGTTCTGTTCTAGGTATCAAAAATTGAAAGTGCGTAGAATGCAACGAAAATTATATACATAATATACAGGATTTTTTCCATTTAGTGCATTTTTAAAACTTATTGCTAATGCTGTTGGTTTCGTTTATTTCTGACATCCTGTTTATTTGTATTTGTATGCGTTCACAATAGTTAACACGCAGAATATATAGAGTAATAAAAATTACTTTATACTCAGCAACATGATTTTTCTAAGCTGGCTAAGTATAGACATTTGCTTTGAAAAGTTGATTCCACCCAAAAATGTTACTTCTTATGGTGCTGATAATCACTTTTAGAATTTTAAATATCTTACGCGTTATTATTCCCGATTATCTATAATAAATGGACACTTGGCCCTACAAAATCTACTTACAGTTTTTTTCGTCTGAATCATCGTCTGTTCCACAGTTTGGAATGTTATTACACTTCAGATGGAAAGGTATGCAAAAAAGGGATAGTTCACATTGGAACTCGTCGCAAGATGGACCAGCTAAGACCTCTGTCCAGTAGGCTCTAAATCCAGCGTAGCCTACAGCTTTATCGGCCGTGATAAAGCTGGGTAAGTTAAAATTATGTTAAAATATTATATGTTAAAAATCTATAAATGATAGCTAGACGGCCCTTAACATTTTAAATGTTGAGTCACCTTGCAGGGAAGTAAAAAATTTGCTCTAAAATAAATTGCCACACTTATGGAGCAGAATAATTCAGCATTAGGTTGGTAAACGCTCGACTGATTTCAACTATTAAGAAAGATATAAATAATAACGACACCAATTTTTTAAAATGGTATGTGCATATTTAACAGGTTTAAATATTCGGTTGGATTATGGCATTTTTAATATGGAAATTTGCCTTAAAAGTGTCCTTTTTTTTCAAGTTTAAAACAATCTGGTACTCCGTTTTACGCATTTGACTAATTCGCTACATGCTGAAAGTGTAAGATGTTTTTTAAACCGATTGAACTTACAAAGTTCCGAAGTATCGACAGTAATTTTAAGTAATTCAAAATGACATCGAAGAAAACACATCGAACAAAAGTATGGTTTTCCAGCTGTAAAGCTAGTGCTTAGATTGCATATCACAGACAATATTGATATTGTATGTGCAAGCTTGTCATCTAGTTTTTCCTGAACCAATAGGTAATAAAACCGTGCTACTCACCTCAAACGCATTTGGTTTGTGGCAGAAATATATTCCCATTTGTCCGTTGTTGCCTTTTCTCCACAAAGCTCTTTGCCGGGAGCTGCAATGTCGGTCCATAATCTTAAAACTGCCGCTGGACATCCACGTCCTTAATAACAAAAGTAAATTATTAATACCTTCAAGGAAACGTCGATTTTGGTAACTGTTACATAAACATAAACATAAATGAGTTTCTGATTATAAATACATATCTGACTTGAACGTTTCACAAAATTGTGCGGGGTAAAAGAGGAAGTTCAAAATTACAGCGGAAATGATCTAAATTTGTTATTCTACAAAATTAAAAGTCTCAAAGTCTTCAGATTAAAACATCAATTGAAAAACTTCGAATAGTTTAGATTAACACCATATTTTGAGAAACGGAGGACTGCTAACAATAATAAAAAAAGTAGAATTACAAAAATCGTTGATTAGTGTAAACAGCAATGTTTAACTTTCTCTTGAAAGTGTGTAAAAAACGAGTCTTAATACTGAGCTCGATTTCTGATGAAGAAAGTTAGTAAACCCTTTGAGAACATTCAAATTATTGAAATTCAGCGATCGAGGATTCTGCGGTGAAAAAGTGGTCGAAGAAGCGTTGAATAATGTTATCTACTTATTCACGTAAAGTGCATATTACAAAAACAAGCTTGAACAAAGGAAAAACATAGTTTAAGCTATTTTTCCTAAAAAAAATATTTATATATGTTTTGTAACAAATAAGTAACAATAAATCGCCTCATACTAATAAAACTTTTACTTTTCTTTACTTTACTAGTAAATAAAGCTTTACTAATAAATATATCTTCCGTGCGGAAGAACATCATTGCATCTCAAGAACTTAATTAAACTTAACTAGATTTAACTTAATAAAACTAAAAAAATAAACTTAACTTAATTAAACAAAATTGAATTTGGACAATGTCACCTGCTTTCTTATCCAAAACATTATATGTACGTTTGCAATGCTCAAGCAGAAACAAAAAATGTAAATAAACAAGAATCAGCTTACACGTTTTTGTAAAAATCCAGCTAGTACACTATTTGCTTGATTAAATTTTTTTTAGCATTGGTGATTTGATGGTTGTTTTATAGCGGACGATTTTTCGAGATTTGTGTTACATTTTACCAATAAGGTGTTTCCGGAAATTTATGATTTGTGTCCCATTATATTCAAGTTGTTCAAATTAAGTTTTCTAATGCATATTGCCCGGGTAAATTTTGCTCAACTTGCGTATTTTCATCACCGAGCTTTACATTTCTAATATTGACGAACATGTTGGCTGCTAGACCGTTAAAACCAAGCATATCTGAATGGCATAAGTCTTCCTGCAATCTAGACCTAAAAGTTCAATCACTTTCCAGTAGATTTTCATGCATTATTGAAAACTACTGAAATGAAACTGAAAATTAAAATAATTTATTTCAAACCGAATCATTCATCCAAGAGATAATTAACTGCTTCAAATGAAGAGCTTCCGGAGAAAACATCAAGGAAAATCTGCTTGAAACTTTTAAATGGCTTTCACTACATCATGCATGTTGTGCATGCTTCCGTCAAATTCAACACAGTTTTATTCGTTGCTTATGAGTCTCTACTGCCTTCAGAATAACTTCAGCAATCAGCAGTTCGGTGGCAGACACTTTTACTTTCTTTGGCAAATTTTTCTACCTTAGAAGAATCAATTTGCTTGTGAAAGTAGCAAGCGGAGTAAAGTAGCTTTCGCGCGTCTGTGATTTCGAACATTTAACCGATTTAGAGTATCTGCAAATAGGGCAAACTTTATGCGCGCTAGACGTTGGTATATATTTTAAGGTTTGAAGAGTACACTTTAAAACAAACCACAAATATGCCGTAACGCTGAAATTTTTGGAGAAAATGCAGAAAATATCTGACTGCCGTTTTAATTTTTTATAAAACATTTATAGAATCATTCTTTTAACCAGAAATCTTCCCTAAGTTTAAGAAAACTTTTCAATGTTTAGGCTACACTAAAAGTTTGTCAAAAGACTATCAAATACTAAGCGGAAATATTGGTTAATTTCAAAGTTGGTACCTTTAAGAGCAAACATCTTCCAGAACTAAACTCAATTTGTAAAAACATTTTTCCGTACTTTGCAGGCAGTAGTTGCTTTTTAATATTTGCAAATAATGTTAACAGCAACACAAGAGCCATAGACTTGGGGTTTGAAAAAATAATTTGGCTTACCACAAAATGTCTACAGTTTTCACTTCAAATCATTAGTACGAAGCACTAATGAATCTAAACTTTTCAGCAGATACATGATGTAAAATATTGAACTGCGTTTTGAACAGCACACTTTTGGATCTATTTGCAAATCTGTACTTACCACTGGGTTCACCTTCAATGGCAAACTTGTCAAAAATGATCAAAACTCGATATTGAGGCCTAACAGTGATGTACCAGTTGCAGCTCTTCGAAGACTGAGTTAGTTTGGGCGCATCATAGTTTTTTGGAAAGTTCGGGCTCAATATTTGACCACTGTCGGAGCTGCTAACGTTAGCTGAAACAGTACCAAATTTCCATTGGATGCAATTCACCTTTTTCAGCTAGTTGAGTTCTGACCTCCGCAGTCTCCAAAAATTGATTTGGCTAGTTCAAAGCTGTATCTGGCCTTAAATCCGCTGGCCACTTGAGCATCGTCTGAATGTAGAATCGCTTTGAGGCCGATTGCCCCTCGATTGGACTCGATGGGTCCTGGCGCAGACATGTGGCAGTACCGTCCAATTATTATCTCACTGCCATCCCGATAAACGTTGTATATTTCTAGCCAGTCTTCTTGACATATTTCAGCTCTGAAACGGCATCATTTGCTTTCCAGAATGCTTCCGCATGAATTGTGACTGTATCTTACCCATAGGAGCCAACACTACTATTTATATTATCCGCTCTAATCTTAAAATTGTCAAAGACCAGGGTAACCTGCTCGTTATCCGTGGCCAGGAAGTGATACGTGCAGTTTGTCGAACTGGGATAGTTGGTTGGGTATCGTGGGGAGTTAAAGTCTCCTTTTTTCTTCGACGTACTACGGTATGTGAACGAACAGGTTCCATCGGGAGCTGCCGTACCTGGGATCCGATATTCTGCAAATTACAATTCTATGAATAACATTCACCGACATTTTCTTGGGACAATTACACGATGATAAACCTTATAAAACAGGACCGCGTCGATATCACTGAGGATAAAGAGTACCTCAATTTGCAGCTATATTTATCCGCATGTCTTATAATTGATTGGAGAGTAATGGAATTTTTGCAAACTAATTTCCATTGAAAACTGCCAAGTTGAAACCCTCCATCATGTAATTGCAACTTGCAACTTTGAAATAACGTCCAATTTGGCCGCATGAAATTTTGTGTAACTTCCTAATAATATTGCTCTCATATCGGGTGTGTTAATGAATATTCAGGCTTTGTTTAATCTTCATTTGGCTCCTCTCCGAAATGTCCAGTACCTTTCCAAAAGGAGTTTGCCAGAATTACACATTTCCACAGTTTGTACACACATGGAAGGGTTTCCCTTTTGTTAATTAAAACAAATCGTTCTAAAATACATGCCACAAACCGCCTCCGATCTTTGTCCATTTATTATGTAATTTACACACATCTTGTTATAAAACACACAAGTGATGGCGATGTTTCGTTCATTTGTAACTGTCGGAAGGAAAATGATGCATTTTTAATTGGATCAATAGAACATGGAACTCCCTAGTGTCTGGCACTAACCGTAATCGAGCAACTAAAATTTCACCTTTTCATACATTTAAAATTTCGTATTCAGTTTCAGGCCAAAATATACCAAGTTAATAAAATTGACTCCGCGGTAAATATGAGGTGGTTAAAATGTTAATCGCATTGTCAAATCAATTCATGAGTTAAGAATATGAATTTGGTTAAATATCTATAAATGTACAGAGTTGAAGATAATTCCCTGCAATTATTTAGATAAATTCTAAAGATTTAGTTAAATGTTTTTAAGAGCGTATGCAGAAAACTATAACGAGCGAACATTTTTTATGAAGTAGGGAGGGCAAAAATTGAGCCATAAGTTCATCAGCTTGACTGGTGTAGAAAAGAACTGTTTGTATTATATTAACGAATATCGAAAAGAAAAATAGAAAAAAGGGGACTTTGACTTCATCGTCATTAACTAAACAATAGAATGTTGTCGTGTTTAAAAAATTCGCATTTTGTGGTTTAAAAAGTTCTTGAATATTACGCTAACTGGGATAGTAAGGGCCGACAGGTAATAAATCGCAATATTCAGGTCGGTTATCTTGATTTGTGTTTACATTTTCGCAATTTTCAACTTTTTCTTGGATGAAATAGTTGTTGTTATTGCAAAATAATTTTCTAATTTCAAGTTTTAGCTTATTTTTCATGACAAATTTGTGGTAGGTTGGATGAAAGGAATTATTTCTTGTAGCGTTTGTACCAAGTCACCAAAATCGCTTGTAAGAGATAAAGAGCACATAAACTTAGATATTTTTGAAGTAAAACTGCATTTAATTCGATGTTAGGAAAATTACGCCGAATGCAAATGAACTTATTGTCAAATTTGCACTGCATAATGCATCATTTTTGCTCATTTACTCCAGCTAAAACATTTAAAAAAATTTCTCGTATATTTGTTTTTAAATAATATTCGATTTTTATTTTGAAGAATATTATATTGCTTTACTTAGTCGTAAATATACAAGATTGAATATGTATAGTATATTTTAGCCTAAGCTGTTTTTGTTGAAAAATATGTGTCCTTTTTGAAGCCGTACGTAAGTCTTGCTAAATTTCAGTTATGTTAAACACAAGTTTAACATAAAAATAGTTGACAGATAATTGAAAACATAAAAAATGCGGCAAAGCAGTGATATATTTATGCTATTCAACTAAAAATGGTTAAAACTTTTGAAATAAAAAAACAATTACATAGTAACACTTTAAATATAAATTTGTCTAATTGTTCTTTGGTAGCGCTTGCTGAATTTTTGGCAAATAGTGTCTTCGAGTGTCTTCTTCCTTCGAGCTGGAAGTTTTGCATCTACAAGCTCGCAATAATACTGCCTATTAATTGTACATCAAAAACATATTTTTTTCGACTTTACATCTCTTTCCACTCCATTTAGGGAGCAAGCCAATCTCATTTCTATTTGATATAATCTCTCTGATGGACAATCTTTATTTCTGCGAAAAAGACCATCTTTCTAATTCGCCTTGTGATTATTTTAGGATTTGTCGCCCACCACAAACACTGTCCATATTCACAATTTAGATGTTAGAGATTAGAAAAACTTCTCTAGTAGAAACATGAACCGAAAGACATAATTATATATTGGTTTCATTTATCGGAAGTTTTATCTTGTGAATGTTGCTAGTTTGGAACTTCGCAATTACTTTTGAAGCAAAAGTCGAATATTTGAGTATCGGCTGGGTATCTAGTTCGCCTCTAATTAAACCTTTATATCTTCAACACCTTATTTTTATTTAAAAGTGGCTTCATTTTTGTATTTGAATGGTCTGATCTGCTTTAATATATTTTCGACTGATTTGATTGTCGACTTTTAGATGGTCTATTGAGTGTTAACTTACCAGTTTCAAAGGTATAATTTGCTTTAAATCCTCGTCCCATTATTTCGCCTGAACTGAACACCATCAGCAATCGTGGCCCATCGGATACCATGATATTCGGATCAGCTTCATCACCGCAAAGTTCCTGGTCGAATTTATCGTAGGCATCCATCGTTTCTTGACCTTTCAGGTATATTTTCAGATAACCATCAGAACAACTAGAATTGACAAAATTATTGATAAACTAGCGTCTGAAATTGTTCTTTCAACAATTGCACTTACTCTCCTTTGCTGCCTTTCGGGATATCCAACATCGTAAAATTTAGTCGTACTCTTTCTAAATATTGAGCATTTTGCATTCCGTAGATAAAGTATCTACATACTAGCTTAGGCATATATGGAAACGGGTAGTTTGGACTATAAACGAAGCCGTCGGATTCCTTTTTGCTAAATATTCGCTGGTCGCATTCAGTTCCTCGAATGTGTTCACCGTCGTTCTTACTTATAAAATCTAAAAGAAAAAATCGAACACCACTAATTAATTAAAGCTGATTGACAAGAGCCCTCAAGTGTGAAACATTAACTTCAAATATAGACATTATTCGTATAAAGTTGGAAATAAAAGTGCCCACTATTTTAAGCAAAAATTAGTTTTAGCCTCAACATTATGAAATGCAAATGTGGTAAAGCATTTGCAATTCAATTGCCAACTTTCCTAAATGAGGTTAATTAACCTGCTCATTGATTGCCAGTATTTTCCAATAAAACTAGAAAATGTGGCCTAAAATAATTTAAACTAGAAGACCGCAAAGAGAGTTAAAACTTTTCAAAGAACCTCATACTCGAGAGTGAGTTCCAGAAGTAATATCTAAGTTTATTTCAAATTCGCCGAACTGTTTTTTTGGAAAAAACCTTGAAATTGTTATTTGTAAATGCGATTATTTTTGTACCAAATTTATTTATACCGGATGGTCCAAAAATAAGTTACGGTCATCCCCTTATTTTTTCAAATAGAGATATTTTTTATTTCAATTTTCAATTCTCCATTGAATTCTAGGTAAGACTCAGGTAACATGTGCTATACTTAAACTCAACAGTTACCCCGAAATTTACGATTAGGCACATTCATAATTTAAAGCGACAATTTCTTTCAAATTTCTGTAGTCCAGAAAAGGACCGATGCATTGCAACAAGCAGATCAGGAATCAAACTAAATGTTTGGAATGTGTGAGGTAACCCCACAAAAAGAAGTCTATCAGATGTAGGTCGGGCGATCTAGGGGGCCGTTCAATAGGTTCTCTGCTTCCTGTTCACTGAGTGGGAAAGGTTTCATAAAAAATGTACGCACAATGGCAGCATAATGCAGAAGAGCACTGTTTTGCTGAAAAATAAGTTCTTCGTCTAATGGATTTCGAAATAAAGACACCAATGGTAGAATTATTGCAACTTGGAGAATTTCTAGATATACTTGTCCAGTTAGAGCCTGTTCGAGGACAAATGGTTCATTTACTCTTCCACACCTCTATCATCCAATGCGGATGTTCTCTTACTCAATATGGACTATTTTGTCGGTTCTCATACCCATTTAAACTGAACTTCATCGGAAAAATAATGTTTTTTACTAAATTGTTATCCAAATTGCATATATTTTGTATGCTTTCGCAAAGCTCATTTCACCTATCTAAGTCATCTTTAAATAACTGTTGCACTCGAATAACTTTTTAGAGATGATATTTGTGCTTTCGAACAATTCAGTGAACAACAGATTTCCGCATGTGTAAGTAAATTGGCCCAATCTGCGAACGAGGAGTACGTGGATTTACTTCCAAATAAAGTAAAAGGTCAAATTTTATTCATCATTATTAGTCAGGTTCCTCTGTTCAACAAACCACCTTTAGTCATATGGAGGATGGACGTCCCGATGGATCACCAAACCTAACAATGCGGAAAACTTTACTTTATACAACAAAAGTAAAAATTTGATATGAATCTTTATATTTTTTCATATTTTTTACCTAGTAAATTCCTCAAGTCTTGTTGAGTTTGAGTATTGGACGTGGTACTTCAATCAATACTCTGAATTCAATGGAGATTGCAAAATTTAAATAGAAAATAGGCGCTTTCACATTAAAAAATGAAGTTGATGATTGTATGTTTCATTGTATCTAATTTTTRACATTAACTTACCTAATTTAGTAAACGAGTTAGAAAACTCAAATATCCCTCTAAACCCCCTATTTTGAGTATTGGCAGTGCGTCTTAAAGTGACAAAAGTGACATAAAGCGTCGACTCCGATGAATAGATGACCAAGTTGCGTTGCTGGCCGCAGTAAGTACCGATAATTGCTGAAGAATTATCAGGACCGTCGTAAATACGTACGAAGTCAAATGGACAGCTAAAAGTGCGTAGTTTAGACAGTTTTGTAATAAACCTTTTTTAAACCACCTACTGTTGGCCTCCGTAAAACAGATCAAAATCCCGAAACTCCAGCCTTATCCGCTCACCGGGAGCGCCTAGGAACTGATACGAACACGACAGGTTCTTCGGATAGGCTCCTGGGTACGTAGGAGACACTATGTTGCCAGTATGTTTAACGGCTCCTTTCACCAGAAAGTTACATGGTCCGACACCTGCTGGAGTCCCTACTTCATATTCGGCTGAAAATGTAAAGGTGGAATACATAGTAATTATTTGTTATTCGGAATTGATCTGTTTGCTTAGAAATAAGCACCAGATTATTCCAGGGTGACAATAAAAATGACCTCTAGCAAGAACTTCTCCAGGTTTGTGGCGTGTAGCACACGACCTGGTCTCCAAAATAGAGTACATACTGTAGTCCATCGGATTGAGATCTGGCGAGTAGAGCGGCCCTTACGCCGACGAGATCCGAAAAATGGGTCCGGCAGCAGCCCTGAGTGGCTTTCGCCTTGTGAGCCGACGCGGAGTCCTGTTGGAACGTCCAATCCGCATCGCCAAAGTGTTGCTGGGCCCGCGGAAGTACGACGACTTTGAGGATGCCACGGTGGTAGACGTCCATGTTGATTTTGATCCCTTGTTCCACGAAAACGAGGGACAAATTCTGATTATTCTGAGATGTTCGGCGATGGCTGATGTGCCAGGGTCCCCCGCGGACCAGCTCCTATCGGTCTGGTGATTGTGGGCTTGTTCAACGGTGAACAGCTTGACTCGCTGGACACGTTCTCGGACGAGTTCCTGGTTCTAGACGGTTCTGACGGTGCGCTTTCTGCGGATGATGGCAAACAGTATGGCTGAGCTCTTCAAACCTCTTGATGGTTCTTCGGACGTTAGATTTGTCGATGTCGAGCGTTCGCGCAATATCTATCGAAAGCTTTTTCAACTCATATGACGCCAACATTGTTTCTCTTTGTTTTCACATCTTAATAAAGTGGCTTAAAAGTGTTGAATAAAATTGAAACAGAACTTGTATGTAATAGTTTAACGGAGAATGAACAAAAAACAAACTTTCATACTTAAGTATTCATGTCACATTTGTGGCAATTTGGTTGTCTCTTTTTTATTGTATATACTTTCCTGACTGTGTTTCATGTCCAAATCAAAATTAATTCCTGGGTTTCAGTCATTTATTGTCTTTATTTATCAATTAAAATACGTTTCAGTGTATTTTTCCACCATCATCAGTTTTTCTAAAATAACATAGTTAAAAAAAAAATTTCATTAATTTAAAAAACAATCACAGTTTGTCAACAGCCTCATCATATCACACACTAAAATACATCACAATTGCAACACTTTAAAACATTCTAAAATTAATTAGGCCTAACAGGTGATTAGTCAGGACAATCAAATTTGGGAAGACTAGAATTCTTTGTTCAGATACTTAAATATTTTTACTTATATGTGTAGCGTTGTTGCTGCTTTAAGCCTTGGCATACATTTGGAGT